GTGTGTGTGATTGTGTTTTACTTTTTGTTGTTCATTTTCTCATCGGCAATAATAATAAATTTTAAGGTTTAATAACCGCAAAACCCTCGGTTTGCTATAAATAAATTTTCTACTTTTTTTATATATATTTGAATAATTAAATTTAACGAAATTTATTACGTGGGAGGAGAAATTTTACCCCGATATATATATTTTTCACTTTCATTTTCTCTCGATCTCACCGCCTTCTATCACTTCAAATAAAAACGAAATTTTAAAGCATAAACGAATTCATGAATGGTACAATAAATTTGTTTTTTTTTTTTTCTAGAAATTTCTTTAATTATTTATTTATTTATTTATTTTTTTATTTGATAAAGTTTTTCTTGAAAATATCTACTTTGTAGTTTAGTAGTTTAGTTTTTTTTTTTAAACGAATTATTTTTCATTCGTATTCAAAAAGTAAAATTTATTTTTTTTTTTTTTTTCAATCATTTTTTCATTTTTTCCATTTTCAAATTTATGACTTTTCTATTTTTTTTAGTTTATTATTATTTTACTTTTTTTTTTCTTTTTCAAAATGAAAATTTTAAATTTTTATCAATTCTAAAATGTTCCAATTCGAAAGTAAGAGAGACAGAGAGAGAGAGAGGAAGAGAGAAAAGTTTTTGTTACTCACGTTCGAATTCGGTGAAACGAAACAAATTTTTTTTTTTTTTTATTTCAAATATGGCGTCGAAAAATGAAAAGGGCGATTGAAAAAAAAAATAATAATTTAAACTTATTTTTAGTAGTGAAAAGTTTACAGAAATTAAATAATTTTTTTTGTGCGGAATTACGTGGCAGAAGAATTTAAATGTGACGAATTTAAAACCGATCGTTTAAAAAAAAAGAAAAAAAATTTGTGATGATGAATAATTTTTCCGTTCGCTTTCTCTCCCCTCCACCCTCTTTTCGCTCTTATCAGTTTATTAAAAAAATTTTCTTCTTATCTAATCCCACGTTATCGGAATAAACGTCATAATGATTATTATTATTTTTTCGTTTCGGTGTAACTGAGGTGGAAAAATAAGGAAAAACGGACTTTTAACAATAATTTTTTTTTCGAATGTCGACGATAAAAATGACGACGACAAAAAAAAAATGTGAAAGTGGAAAAAGAAGAGTTAAGAGTGCGAGAAAAGAGAGAAAGTGAAAGAGAGAGAAAGAGAGAGAGAGAGTCAACCAACAAGCAAAATCAATTTTCCTATCAATTCATTATCTTGATAGATTCTGATAATATATCACATCGTTTTACACGTTTACGCCCAAATGGGGTAAAATGTAAAAATATAACAAACGAATAAAACAAACAAACAAGCGAAAAAAAAAAAGGAATTTTTTTGGCGACCTGTTTGTTGTACAATCAGTATAACAACTAATAACACGTTCGACTTTATCGTTAGGTAAAAGTTTTTTTTTTGGTAAAAAATTTAACGTGGCACAATTATGACGTCATTTCCCATAACGAATTTCAAAACTTTTTCTTTCATTTAATTTTCTTTCATCTCGTGATACACACACACACATGCACACGCCTAATTTTTTTTAAAAAAATGACGTCATCATCACTTTTTATAAAACTTTAATAAAAATTTGGTCGTGATAATTTTTGCTGGAAAAGACGAATTTGAAATTATTATCCAAAAACTGACGTAATTAAAAAATGAGGGAGGGAGGAGGAGGGAGGGGCGGAAAAGGAAGGGAAAAAGGCGGAAAATTATTATTATTATTTTTTTTTCCTTTTTCTCCTCTTCAAAGTTTTAATATTACTTTTTAAGTGAAAATTTTTAAATTTTTTAGTTTTTCTCTACCTTTTTTCTTTTTTCTTTTTTCTTTTTGTTTAAATAATTTATTCTCCATTAAATTGATTTAAAATTTAATTTTTTTTTTCTTCTCGGTTGAATCAATAAAAAAAGTTTTTTAATAAGTTATTAAAAGTTAATAAATAAATAAACAATTTCTTTAACGAAAAAAAAAAAAAAAACGTAAAATTTTAAAAATAATAATAAATTTTCATTATGCGGGTTTTTTTTCGTTTCGTTCCGTTAAAAAAAAATTTTTTTGTCTTAACCGGAAATCTACGCTCACCTGGATAATTTTGAAACTCAAAGAAGAAAATTGAGTGAATGGATGGGGGATGATGCTGGAATGAAAGTTAGTGGAAATTATAAGAAAAGTAACGGTTGCGTTTTTTATTTTTTTTTTCTTTCTTCTCTCTCTCTCTCTCTGTTTCTTTCTTCCTCTTCTGTCTCTCTTTGTTTCTTTCTTCTTCTTCTGTTTTTCTCTTTCTTCTCTCTCTCTCTCTCTCTCAACTGGCCAATCTTTTTTTTTCTTTTTAATTCCAGAATTACTAACGTAGTAATTTTTTTTTTTACGTTCCAAACGTAATCAATCAATCATTCCCATGTAATAAATTTATACCGGAAATAAAAAAATCGAAACGAGTGACTTTTTCAAACGTGTCAATAGTTTATTTATTTTTCCGTTGTCATTTTGGGTATAATTCAAAGAAGAAAAAAAATAGTTTGATTCTAGTTCCACGACGACAACTATTACGAAAAGAATTTAAAAAAAAAAAAAAAAGAAAATTTATCTTTTTTTACGCGGGTTATGAGGGTATTTAATAATTTATTACGAAATCGTCGTTTGTACGATCATTATCGATCCTTGTTTGTTTTTTGTAATCATTACGACAAACAAACAAACAAACAAACAATTTTTACCGTTGTTGTTTTATAAAAAAATTTTTTAAATTCTGCACCCACCGCCACCGCCGCATTTTTTTTTCTCTCACCGATAAATTCGAATCGTTCGAACGTTTTAAAAAATAATTTTTAGTATTTAAACGCCTCCAAAACCGGAAATGAGAATAAATAAGAGATTTGACGTAGTTAATATATTATTATTATTATTATTATTATTATTAATACGCATAATCTTTTTGCTCCGGGTAAGATTATATATTATTTCTTTAAAGTAATAGAAACTTTTCATAAATTCAGATTTATTTTAAATTTAAAAAAAAAAAAAATTATATCGAAAGAAATATCGAGTAACTTTTTTTTTTTTTTTTTAATACAATTTCAAACGTGTCATTAATTCCAGCAAAACTTTCGAAAAGAAAGAAAAAAAAACGTGACGTGGAAATTTAACGGAAACGCGCGAGTGACAAAAAAGAAAAAAAAAGGAACGCCGTCATACGAACGAGTTTTTAAAATTTTAATTAAGTTTTCAACAAAAGAAAAAAAATTTCTTATCATGTGGTTAAACAATTTTTCTCGCACGTTAAATCCGCGAAAATTGAGGATTTTTTACAAAAAATCAAACAACGAAATAAATTTTTACCCTCTAAAATCAAAAGATCCTCGAATTCCCAAAGAACTGAACGTTTTCCTTCTTTGTTTTTGATTGTTCGAAGGTTTGACTTTAATCGGAGTCTGATTAGATGATGAACTTTGAACTTGTTCGGTTCCTGTTGAATTTCCATCTATGCTGTTGGAATGATTTTTATGATGTGCGACACTGGATCCCATTTTTTTTTTTCAATTTTTTTCACTTTTTTTTTCTAATTTTAAATTTCACATTTCACATTCGATTTATTTAATTATTACGTCACAATTTTTTTTACACACTTTTTAATCGTCGTACGAAAGAAAAGAAAGAAAAGAAAAGAAAAAAAAAAGAAAATTTTCGAATCTTTTCGACAGCAACAGCAGGAACGACGAAAGATCCTGAAAAAAAAATAAAAAAATCCCGACAGAATCTTTCATGAATTAAAAAAAATTTTTTTTTTAACGGTTAAATCTCGTGGGAAATAATGAATGGCGGGAGACGGGGGTGGGGTAGGGGGTGGAAGGGAAGTAATTGGAAAAGTTTTTAATTTATTAAAATTTTATTTTCCCACATGTTTTGCTTACGGGAAAATTTTTTCATTAAATACAATTATTAATCTGTCGTTTTATATAAACGCACGTGTTGTTAATAAAATGGAAGAAAAAGACGCGGCGAAATTTTTTAATAATTCACGATTTGTTATGATAACGATTATTATCATTATTATTAATAGGGCAAAATTTAAAAACAAATGAACAAACACACAAATAAATAAATAAATAAACAAAACACCCTCGAGCAAATTTCAACAAAAAAAATTTTTTTTTTTTTGTTTTTTTTCGATAATAATTTGTTTAATAATAATAATGATGATGAAAAGAGAAAAGGTGACGATGATGATGATGATGATGATAATTATAACGGAAACGTCATCGGAAACGTCATTTTTTTTTTTTGTCGAATAAACAAACAAACGGAAATTGAATTAAAACGAGAGCAGAAAAAAAATTGAAAATAATTTAAATCGATTTCTTTACATTTTCATTTCCTTTTTTTTTTTTTATTTGCCACCATTTAAATTACAATATGTTAAAAAAAAAAAAATCCCCCTTTTTTCTTCTTCTTTTGGTCTCTTGTTTGTTTTGTTTGTTTTTAACGCATTTATAAGTTTACATCGTAAAAACTCACACTCCTACTCTTTTTATTTTTGTGAAAAAATTTGGAAAAATCAAATGAAAATGAGGTTTTCCGAGTAGGATAAAAACGTGACCGAAAATAATAATAATAATATCAATTAATTATTATTATTATTATTATTAATTTTTGTCGCTCGACGACAACTTGTAACTAAAATTTATTAATAATAATAAAATCTAAGTTAAAATTAATTTAAAAAATTTAAAAGTTGTTTTCCAAAAAACGGTGGGGGGAAGGACGGTGAAGAGGAAAGGAAATAATAATAATAATAATAATAATTACCTGTTTAATGAGAAATTTAAAAAAAAATTAAATTTGAAAAAAAAAGTTGTTTGTTGTTGTTGTTGATACAAACACTTTTTCGTTAACTTTAAATTTAAAAAAAAAAAAAATTTTTCTTACGCGGTGGAAACGTTCGAAAACGTAGCGGAAAAACGCGAACGTAAAAAAAAATAAACGAACGAACGTACGAAAGAGCGAAATAGCGAACGTACGAACGGGCGAACGTGCGAGTAATGTATGAAAGAAAAAGGGAAAAAAGAATTTAATTTAAAGTTTTTTTTTTTTTACTCGTTTCAAATCATTTTCGTTCGCGCAAATCCAAAACGTACGTACGTCCGTTCACATTTAAAAATGATCCAGCTTTTAGTTTGTTTGTTTGTTTGTTATTTGCGCTCTGACGATTTCATTTATTTAATATTCGTTTATTCGAATTTTTTTTTTTTTTAAATTCATTTCCGGTCGTGTGAATACTATAAATAATAATAATATTAATAAATTTTTTTTTTTTTTTTTTTTTGAATTTGAACGTGGATTTTTTTTTTTTTTACAAATTTAATAATTTCGTATTATTAAAATTTATTATTATTATTATTATTAATAATTCGAACAATTATCGGTTTGTTAGATAAACCGCAAACGTTTATTCGTAGCAAAAACTTACGATTCGATATTTAAATATTTAATAAATTTTAATTTAAAAAAAAAAAAAAAAATGTTTATGATTTAAAAGTAAATCCTTTTAACAAAAAAGATTAAATTTGTTTTTACTTAAATTTAAAAAAAAAACAAAACAAACAAACAAACAAGCAAACAATCGAATAAAAGTTTAAACAAATATTTTTTTTTAGTTAAAATGACGAATCATACAACAATAACAACAACAACAAAAACAATAACAAATTTTGTTCAACTTTATAATTAACAGACCAAATTGAAATTTCCCTCCTCCCCCTCCCCTCCCCATTTTTTTCGTCGTTACTTAATTCGTATTGATAACGTTATCGGTCAAATTTAAAATCGATTTGTATTGATTTTTTTTGGGGGGCGCGGAGGGAGGGAAAGGGAAGGGAGTGGAGATTTTTTTTGTGTGAATCACACAAAATTTTTTTCTTTTTTTTTTTTTTCGTTTGTTTCGAAATTTTCCACACCTTTCCCGACCCGCTTTCCCATCGTTTTCCCTCCCGTTTTCCCTCCCCCGTTTGATGAAAAGAAAATTTTTTTACAGGTCGGAAAATTATTTAAAAAAAAAAAAAAAGAATTTTTCTCTTTTTTTTCTTTTTTTGTACTTCGCATTCGACGTAAATTTTTTTTTTCCAGAATAGAAATTTAATCGCACGCCACGTTTTCCAGATAATTTATAAATCTAATTTTTTTTTTTTTTGTAAAAAGGTTAATGCAAAAAAAAAAAGAAAAAAAATGACTGAAAAGGTTGTTATTATCATTATCATTAATTCACTTTCACCTTTTTTTTTTTTTTTTTAAATTTAATTGACTCCGTAAAGCTTTTACTACCTTTTTAAAATTATTATTATTATTGTCATTATTATTATTATCATTTCATTAGAATTTGATTTGAAATGAAGGGGGGGAATTTGACAAACGTGGAAAGAATAGAACACGACAAACGACAAACGGTTTTTCCAAAAATCGGTTGAATATTTGGAAAAAGTTTCTGGAATTTTACAAAAAAAAAAAATTTTTTTTACAAAACGATTACGTTTAATTTTCATTTTACACTTTAACACTAATAATAATAATATTAATAATTCTTTTGTGCGAAAAAGGTTAAAAAAGGTGAAAGGTCATCGTTTTCATATCCGTATAAAAAAAAAAAATAATAATAATAATAACGACGACGAGCTCAAAAGCAAAAAAAAAAAAAAAAATTTCAATTTTTTTATCAATCAATGACTGGACAGAAAAAAAAAATTTCCAAATTTTATTAAATTCTAAATACGTGTGAAAATTCTCTTAGTTCCTCCCTACCCTCCTTCCTCTTCCCCTCCCCCCCACGAAATTCGAAACGATTCGAAAAACTTAAAATTCATCATCGAACAAAAAAAAAGAAAAGTTAAATTTTTTCGCACGCAAAATTTTTCTTTGTCTCTCTCTCTCTCTCTCTCTCCCTCTTTCTCTTTCTCTCTTTCTCTCTCTCTCTTTCTCTCTTTCTCTCTCTCTCACATTTCTCCCCTCCCCAAGAAAAAGGGAAAATTACTTGATCGATAAAATCGATTCGAAAATTTTTCACGTGTGGGAAAATTAATGCAAAAAAAAAAAAAAAGAAATTTTCTTCAAAGATTTCCCTTGATATTGTTAATTAAAGTACAATTTAACGTTGTTTTATGGAAATTAAATGAATTTATTTACCTGACCGCGTAAACACGAAAATATTTAAATAAAAGATTAAAAGTTAATATATATATACGTTAAATTTATTCTAAGAATAATTTTCACTTTCTTTGTCCGCCATTTTGGTTTTTCCTTTTTTTTTTCGTTTAATAATAATAATAATAATGATAATAATTACTATTGAATATTTAAATATTATAAAATTAACGATCGAACGAACGAACGATTATACGGTCGATTCCCTAAAATTAACTCGATGAAATTTTAAAAAAAAAGAAAATTTTTTATCCTTTTCCCGCTATTTTTCCGGAGGAAATGGTTCGTTGCTTTCATCACACGTGATAAACCCGGTTTCCGGTTTAAAAAATTTTTTTTTTTTTTTAATTAATTATAAAGTGACGTCATTTATTCCAGTCGACGAGTTTTGTAACAATAATTCCTCTTATCAGGTTTATTATTAAGTCCCTTTCATTTATTTTAAAATGTTAAATATCGTCGGCGAAATGTTATTAATAATAATAATAATGATGATGATAATGATGATAATAATAATAATAAACGAAAAACGAGAAGAGTGCGAATAATTTTTATAATTTTTTTTATTAAAAAAAAAAAAGAAAAAAAAACAATTGTTTTTTCTTTTCGTCGTTGATGTTTGTTTGCCGCCATTTTGTTTTTTATTATCATTATTATTATTTTTGATAATTAATGTTCGAAAAAACCGTAATCGTAGTAATTGTTGTTATTATTTTTGGTTTGATTTTTATTGTTTTGATGTTCGTTTCTGTTATTGGAAGAATTTTTGGACGTACTTCTGATACTTTCTCCGCACTGAGATTTCGAACCGTTTTTCACTTGAACGGTTCGACAAATGGCGTTCGAATTAATAAAATTCGTCATCAATTTCGGATCGTTCGAACACGTTGATTTCTCATCTGGAATGCAACTTAACGATTCCGGATCGAATACGTTCGTGAGAGGACATTTGTGATAATACGGAAATCCGTTCGAACATATTATGTAACCTTTACAATCACCTTCGTATGGTTTTATCTCGTTCACGGACGAACACTGGAATAAAAACAAAAATAATAATAATGATTGGAAAAGGATGGAAAACACACGAAATTAATAATAATGATAATGGTTATAATTTTATAAGGGAAAATAATTTACGGAAGCTTCTTAATTTAAAAACAACGTTTGGATGCTGCTTGCGAGAAAATTAGAAATCTATCTTGATAAAGTCAAGTGAAAGATTTCGAAATATAGGAAAAGGTTAAAAAAAGGTTCGGTACAAAACTCACTTTCATCGGACATGTTGATTCTTCGGCAAAAATGCAAGTGTCCGCCGCTGTGTTCCAATGAGTACTCGGTGGGCACATTCTGTACTCTGATATTGAATTTTTACAAATGAAATATCCACCGCAATCTCCGGGAACCCCATAAAATCCATTCTCCACTGGACACTGCGTTGAAAAAATAAATAAATAATAATTTGGGAATTTATGACGTCATCGTGGAAAAATTTAAAATACTCACGACGTAATTGCAATATGAATTATGGGGCATGTCGCAACTTTTTGTTATTATGTTAAATTGGAGTCCATTCGGACAATCCCTTTGTAATGCAACACCTGATTCGCAATGAACATATTTATGGCAAAAACCGTTTAACGGATACGTCACGTTGTAGCCATCTTGAAATAAATAAAAAAATTTTTTTTCACGCGTGTGCGACATTTTCTTGGCGAAAAATTTGTGCGCAGACACTTACCCGGGCACGATATTGTGTTATCATTCCATTCTTTTCCAATATATTTCTTGTAGGAGATTTCAGGTTGTTCCGTTGTTGTCGTATCATAGTTGCCGAAATTTTTTGGAATTCCAGTTCTTGAAAATGGATTTAGATAATCGAATTCTTTTGTATTTTGCGTTGTCATCGTCGTCGTCGTCGTCGTCGTCGGCGGTGAGGCCGTCGTCGTATAAACACCCGTTCTAAACGTTTGACTAGTTTGTTCAGTAATTTTCGTCGGTGGCAAACCCTTAATCGTACTTTCCGACGGCTTCACTATAATCCGGATATCCGTTTTGGTTTGTGTAGGAATCAAAGTGTTTGGCCGTGACGTCATCGTCGTAGCCTTTGTCGTCATTTCCTTTTCTAAATTTCTATCTATTTGTACGTCGTAAGGTGGTAACGTCGGGCCACTTTTTGGGCGATAAGGTAAATTTTCATTCTTCATTATTTTTTCCATTATTCTAGGATAGTCGTCGAAATTTGGTATTTGTCGAAAACTATTATTATCATCATCAAAATTAACTTTATTATTATTATCATCGTTTGAATTTTTAGTTACGGGCTCGTCGTAGGAAAATGTCGTTGTCGTCGTCGATGTCGTCGCGAACAAAGTAGCGTCGTTCGGGTTTTTGTAAATTTCTCTCGTTGTTTCCGTTTTCATTTCCGTCGTGGTCGAACCCGGAAAATTTCTATCGTTTTCCCCGTCGTAATTTTTTTCATCGTTTATATTTGGCAACAGTGGAATTCTAAAAATTGTCGTTGTCGTTGGTTTCGGAGTCGTAAAATTTAATTGATAATATTTAAAATCGTTGTCGTTTTCGTCGTCGGTTTTCATGATGATAGGATTTGGGGAGTCATACGGATTTACCGATTGATAAATTTCGGGGGGCGGTCGATATTTTTCAAAATTCGGCGGTCTATTATGATATTTGTAAGTACGCATGTAAGAATAATCTATGTTTTCGTCGCTATCCGTATACGAAGCATCGGGCATTGTGTCTAATTTTTCAAAAGCATACCTTAAAAATTCAAGGTAGAGTTTACACGTACCTTTCGGTATCAAATTCCTTTCGAATTTTTTATGTCTGTCCTCTTTAACTTTATTATTATTATTATTAGTACAATTATAATTATTATTAGCATTAGCATCATCATTAATTTTGGTAATATTATTATTATTATTATTATTATTATTAGCATTAGCATTACCATTAATTGTAGTTGTATTTTTTTCATTTTCACTTTTGTGAAAAATAACCGTTGTTTTATTTTTGTTCGGATTAAAATAATAAGTCGCACCGTAAGGTAGCTTTGCTATTTGTTCCTGCGTCAAATTTAGTCCAGCAATCGGAAATGTTACGTTGGGAGAAATATGTTGGATTTTATCTTTCGGTAATGGATACTCGTAAGCGTAATCTTCGTATTCTGATGGATTATCATAATAAGATATTGAACTCCATGGGAACTCTTTTCTTTCTAAAAAATCTTTATTTTTCGATTCTCTCGGATGTACCGCTTCTCTTTTCTTCAAATTTTTATTCGATTCATTCAATTCTGGCAACAAAAAAATAATAATAATAATAATAATAATTTACGACGACGCGTCATAAATTTCATTTTCCACGAAAAAACTTTTTTTTTTTTTTTAATTTAAATAAATACTCTAAATTAATTTATTATAATTATTATTATTATTAATTACCTTTTATGTTATTTTTTCCGATGATTTTAAGTAAAAAATTAATAATGTCTTCATCTGACGTCATCGTTATAATTTTTTTTAACATTCTCGGATTTTTTTTTAATTTAACTATAAATGAATTTAATTTTATATAATCTTTATCCACGTGTAATTTTTCTCTTTCCGACATCGTCATATTTATTAATAATTTTTTATCTTTTACATTTTTCCAATCTGAAATATTATTAATATATATTAATAATGATAATAAATTATTATTTTCTTATTATTAATAATAATATATTTTTAAATTTTTTTTATATTTCCAGGTCGAAAAACAAAAATTTATTAAAATCACTGGAGAAGTTTTTTTTTTCTTTTTTTTTCCACCCCACAGACGTGAATTCTGGAATATCTGGATAAACGGGTAAGTTATTAATTTATATTTTACGTCATCGATTAATTACCTAAAGAAAATGTAGTAATAATAATGATAATGATAAAAATAATTGAAAATTTTTTATTTTTTTTAATGGATCGATACGATTTCCAGTAAAGATTAGTATGTTAGGGGATTTTCCAGTAAGTCAGGATTAAAAACAAAAAAATTACCTGGAATGTATTTAAAGGCTTTAAAACAAACGAATTGATTTAATTAATTAAAATGAATGAATGAATGATTGAATGGAAAAAAAAACTACGTAATAATATCCAAAAAAAAAAAGAAAATTTTTGTTTCGAATTATTTTTTGGACAAAAAAAAAAAAAACGATGGATTTTTTTTTATAATTTTCTGTCGTTACGTTGCAAAAAATGATAATCGTAATAGCAGAAGACAATTACAATGATGATAATAATAATAATAATAACGTAAACGATAAAATAAAAACCGTTAAAAAAAAATTTTTTTAATCGCCAAACGAATAAAAAAAAATTTTAAATGAAAAACTTACCGGGTAATAAATACGATGTATCGATTTTATTATTATTATTATTATTTTTATTATTATTAATATTAATAATATTAGAATTTGAATAATTAATTAAAACGGATAAAATAATACAAACGAAAAATAAATTCATTTTTTATTTAAAAACGACAACAAAATTATTCGTTTATTCGTCGATGAACTCAAATTAAAAATGATTTTTGAAACCCACAAAAAAAAAAAAAATTAATTATTCGTTAGTGTAATATTAATATTTCCCCACCACGACGACGACTACAACAAACAACAAACAAACAAATACAACAACGCCTACAAAAATTTTAAATTTAATTTTTATTATAACTACTTCTCTTACAAAATTTAACATTGAATTGTTATTAGGGTAAATAATTTGTGGGCATTTATATTATCGAGTAGGAATGTTTTCGTTCGTTCGAATCACCACCACCACCTTTGCAAATATTAAATTTTTTTTTTTTTTTCCATGAGTAATTGGACAAATTTTTGAAATTTCCTTAAAAAAAAAAAAACGCCCCCCACAAAAAAAAAAACGATAAAGAAAAATTTTTTTAAAGGTTTTTTTAAAGATAAAGAAAAAGGAAAATGTTTTTTTTTATAATAAAATCTTTCATTTTTTTTTTTATATTTTTTTATTCTATGTAATGTAATATATATACGTAAATTGAATTTATTTTAATATCATAGAGTAAAAAAAAAGAGAGGATAACAAATCACATATTAAATAAAATTCAAATCGTTTTTGTTTGTGTTTGTATAACAAAAAAAAAATTGTTTGCTTTTAATTTTAATTTTTTTTTTTTTCTTTTCGAAAATGGGGAAATTTGTTTTTTTTCTTTATTTTTTTTATTTTTTAATTTGATTAAATGAAATGAAAAAATAAAATTTCCCACCCACCCCCGAAAAATTTCCCGCGGGTTTCCCCCCAAAAAAAAAAAACAGAAAAATTTTTAGGGAAAAATTATCATCCCGAGTTAAAAATCATGATTGCATTTTTATTCATACTCACACACACGTAAAGATTATTAATTGCGTGCGAACGCATATAAATTTATCTTTTTTTTTTTTTTGCTGGAATTTATCGTTTGTTTTTTCTCCAAAAGAAATTATTATCCGTTACTGGAATTTATTGTCATTTTTAATGGTCCTGGAAAAGTTTTGACAACCGTTCGATCATCATTTCTTTACGTTTATCATTATTTAGAAATGTTTTTTTTTAAACATTTTTGGTT